CCGTGGGAGTGACACAGTCAGAGCCCTATGATTGGCTGCCATCTCCGAGCAGGGCACCACTATTTCCGACTCTGCTTGTCAAGAGATGTGGTTGCTATGCCACGCACGTGCTGCCCTTGTTTTCCAAGAGGGAGATTAGGTTTCTAGGTCGTCAGCCTGTACTTTTTCCCCTTTCGGTTATCACTCCAGTCCACCTGTGTTACAGATTCTGATTTTGCTTTGTTGGCCATCACCAAACTGGGAAGAACTGGTTTGAAGCCCTGCTTAATGTGCACACAGCCACCGCTGTTCCTCTGTACCAAGCTCTCGTTCGACGACTCTGTGGTGGTACCCCTCTGACCACCCAGAGCCCCTGGATCCTGCGTCACAGCTGTGGTCTGGCAGTGAGATGGCCAGTAATGGACTGAAGCTCTTCCTAGGGCAGTCAAAGCAGCCACCAGCTGTAAGGACACACTCTGCTGGGTCCTTGATATCTTTTTAGGCCATTGGACCCTTGCACAAACCTCTGATCTGGGATCTGTTATGCCCACTTTCTAGCTGAAGAATAGCTCATTGTGAATTGGTACCCAGGTCTCCCTGACTCTAGAAGCCCAGCTCATCCCTGCCACCTTGGGGCTTCCTAAGAGGCCGAGAGTCTGGGAAGCGAGAGAAAGTGGCTTTTGAGATGTGTGTCTATGTGTGTAGTTTAAATATAAACTTTGTGTCATATACAGTATCTACAGAAAAGTACATCTCACTTTTTTTTTTTTTTTGTCCAGGTGGGTGATTCTCACCATGTGAACAGATGTGTGTAATCACTACCCAGATCAAAAAGCAGATCGTGCTAGAACGCCACAAATCCCCTTCCTGCCCCTTCCCCCCTGAAGGGTAACCCCTGTCCTGACTTCTGTAAAGTAACCTTTGCCTGCTTTTGAACTTGCTATAATGGAATCATACAGTATGGACTCTGGTCTACCTGGCTTCTTGGGCTCAGCATCACATCTGTGCGATTCAGTCATATGTAGTAACAGTTCATTCTTTTTCACTGGAGAACATCCCACTGTAGGACTGTCCCACAGTGTAGTGACTCATTCTGCTGCCGATGGACATTAGGGTTTTCCTGTTTGGCCTGTCATGTCTAACGTTGCTGTGGACATTCTGTCTTTTGGGGCACATTTATGTTTGCATTCTGATAGGTATGTAACCAAGGAGTCAAAAGCTAGGTCATGGATAAGCTCAAGTTCTGTTGTAGAAAATTCTGCCAAACAGTTTTCCAGAGTAGGTCTGCCGTGTCACACTCCCACCGACAGTGCGTGGGCATGCTAGCTGCTTCATATCTTCACTGATAGCTGGTGGTGGTGTTAGTCTTTCATTTCAGTTGTTGTAATGAGTTATAGTATAGCTCTTTGTGGTTTTAATTTGCATTTATCTGATACCTAATAATGCTGAGCACCTCTCCATATGTATTTTGGCCCCATAGGTGCTCCCTTTAAGACAGTGCCTGTTCAAGTCTGTTGACAGTTTTTCTGTTGGGTTACCTCTTTTTCCGATGGATTTGTAGGAATTCTGCATTCTCAAATCTTTTTACCAGATACATGTATATTGCAGATATCATCTCCCAGATATCGTGGCTTGCCTTTCACTCCTTTAAGGGTGTCACTTTAAATGGAAGCAAATGTATCTCAGTGTCCAGACTTGTCACTTGATTCACACTGGCCCTGAGTCAAACAGCCTAAAGACCCACCCTCCAGACAAAGGCAGCCATGTTCCCACCTTGCCGTCACAGACCGGGAGTTTTAGCCTCGTTTACTCAGTCCCGGGCAAAGCTCAGTGGCTTCTTTCGATGGCACGGCAGGCCTTGGGCAAGGACAAGAGAAGAAAAGGACAGGACGCAGGGAAGGAAGAGGCAAGAAGCTGGCCCCTGCGGAGTGGAGAGTGAGTGGACGATCAGTCCAGTCCAGGCCGCTCCTGAGCTCTGTCATGTGCCAGGCAGTGGTGCTAGCCATCTGCCAGGGGTGGATCCAGCTCATGGCTGTAAGAAGTGCCAGGAACACAGAGAAGGGGACAATGACATTTGGCTCCAGTGCAGCGAATGGGGAGCTGATATGTGAGCTGGGCCTGAGAGTGGAACAGATAAGGGTGGAGTGCAAATGCTTTGGGTAGAGGCCATGGCATGGACCAGATCCCAAGGGTTATCATCTACCTGGTCAAACTCACTGCCCTCGAGTCGAGTCTGACTCACAGGACAGAGTAGAACTGCCCCCTTGGGTTTCCAAGGCTGTAATCTTTACCAAAGCAGGCTGCCTTATCTTCCTTTCATGGAGTAGCTGGTGGTTCAAACCTCTGACCTCCTGGTTAGCAACTGAGCTCTTTAACCACTAGGCCACCAGGACTCCTTAGTTATCCTTTAGGGAGTGGGGTGTAAGCCAGTCCATCCGGTTTTTAGGAAGGGGTGTGGCAGGAGAGGCTGCGGACAGACTGAAGGGCCATGGGAGCCACAGACGGTTGTAGCGTGGAGCAGGGCAGCGGCATGGTCAAACTGTTTTAGAGACTCCTGGTTGCTGTGTGTAGGGAGCTCTGGTGACATAGTGTCTAAGGCATCTGACTGCTAACCAGAAGGCTGCCGGTTCAAACTCCTCAGAAGGAAGACTGGACAATCGGCTTCCATAGAGATACCGCCTTGGAAACCCAAGGAGGGGCCACTGTGAGTCTAATCAACTCAACAGCAGTGAGTTTGGTTTGGTTTTTGGTTGCTGTATGAAGGAGCTCTGGTGGTGCAGTGCCTAAGGCATTTGACTGCTAACCAGAAGGTTGGTGGGTCAAACCCACCAGCCGCCCTGTGGAAGGAAGATTGGGCAATCTACCGTAAAGATTTACCGCCTCAGAAACCCAAAGGGGGTAGCTGTGAGTTGGAATTGACTTGATGGCAGTGAGTTTGGTTTGGTTTTGGTTTGGTTGCTGTGTGAGGCAGGGACTGGAGGAGGATGGAGTTAAAGGCAGCGAGCTGTGAGATGAGGCCGTGGTGCCTCACTGGCTGGGGATGGTGAGGGAAGCAGTCGTGAATACTTTGACTCTTCTTCGAGGCAAACAGGTTTGCAACTGTCGGCAGGGGGCAGGCAGGTGTTAATGTTGCAGGAGGCCCAGAAGCTGCTGGTACGAGGCCTAGGAGCCCTGGCCCTGCTTCTTCCAGCTCTGATACTGGACCAGAGACCAGCCGCTGATGTAGTCACTGGGGAGAGGCACGAGGTAGAGGCGGAATGTGCCTCAGTGTGCTGTCACAACACCTGCATCTCACGCTTGTGTTTTTCAGGACCTCCTCGGTCAAAGAGAGCAGCTTCGTGGAAAAGATGAAGAAGACGGTGAGTTTGTTCTGGGTCTGTGCTCTTAGCGTGTCTCGCTCCTGGTGACCATGGAGGGGTGTCCAGCAGAAGACCAGGGTCACAAGACGGGAGGCGTCCTCCGGCCAGGAGAGGGCAGCGGGGACCCCTTGTGTGAGCAGCCTTGTGTAACCAAAGCCCAGAGCTGCTTTGCTGCCGCTGGGAACGTCTGCTTTGTTCTTTGGATGTTTCCTTCTTGAACAAACCACATGTAAGAAGAGCCCCTCCCTTCTCGTCCCTCGCACTGCAGGCTCTGTCCACCGGCAGGTGGGACTCTGACATGGCTGTGGTCACTGCAGGTACAGCTGCTACTCAGTTTGCTTCTGTGCAGTTGTTTAATTGTATGAGTAGGTACCACATTCATCTGGTTAAAATCCAAAACAGACTGTTCCATGAAAAGCCCTCTCGCATCCTTGTCCCCATCACCCAGTCCCTATGGACAGAAAGAGCTTATTTACAGACACAAATAGAAACAACTATAGATTCTTATTTTACACTCTTTAAAAAAAAATAAAACCCCAAAGGTAGCATATTATACACACTGTTAGATACACCTTGCTTTTTTCTTTGAAATTTAATATATTTTGGAGACCCTTCCATATGAATTGCAAAGATTCCTCCTCATTCCTTCTTGTAGCTTCATAAATCCCACTGCATCGCTATAGGGATGGACTGTGATGGGTTTTAACACAGCCCTGACTGACGATGGGCACATGGGATATTTCTGATCTTTTCTTTTCCAAATAATGCTGCATTAATATGTGAATCAATTTGTACATTTGCAAATACGTCTATAGAGAAAAAAAATCCCAAAAGTGGGATTGTTGGGTTAAAAGGTCTGTGAGTTTGAGATTGTGATGGAGCCTTCCAGACTGCCCTCCCTTGGGCTTACCCAAGTCTTCTCATTAGAAACTTGTTTCCCCACAGCCTTGCCAACAGTTTATCAAATGCTTGGATTTCTGCCAGTTCTCTGGGTTAAAAAATGATCTTTCAGTGTAGGTTTAATTTGCATTTTTATTTGCATTTTTCTTATAAAGGAAACTCAGCAGATTTTCCTGATAAACCAAACTTACTGCCATCGAGTTGATTCTGACTCATAGCGACCCCCATTGGGTTTCTGAGGCAGTAAATCTTTACGGAAGTAGATTGCCCAGTCTTCCTTCCACAGACTGGCTGGTGGGTTTGAACCACCAACTTCTGGTGAGCAGGCAGATGCCTTAGGCACTCTGCCACCAGAGCTCCTTTTCCTATGATGAGGTGGCATTTAATTTTTCTACTTTCATAAATTCTCTATTCAAATATTTTGCCCATTTTTCTGTTGATTGATCCTTCTCAAGGAACACCTTAAAATCATTAGGGAGATTAATCCCTGGTTTGTGATGTGAGCCCAGTTAAATAGTTTGTCTTTTGAATTGGCTTATAGTGTTTTTGTTTTTGTTTATGCTTGTAAAAGTTACATAGTTAACTTTCTTCTTCTTTCCTTTTATGGCTTCTAGACTTTTGAGTCATAGTTTGAAAGATATTCCCCACCCTAAAGATAAAAAGGAATTGTTCCATATTTTCTTCTAGTACTTTTTAGGTTTCATTTTTTGTATTTAAAATATTTGATCTATTGGGAATTTATCCCAGTGTAAGGTGTGTGATCTGGGTTGAACTCTCTTTTTCACACACTTGTCTAAATACCTGTAATACAGTGTATCTTTTCCCTTCTGGTCTGAAATGCCATCTTTATCCTGCACCACACATCCATATATATTTGAATCTATTTTCATATTGGCTGTGTTTTAGTTATGGGATCTAGCTGTCTGTGTATACACCTGTCATGCTGAAAGTGAAGATAACTTGGAGCACTTACTGTTGAAGGTTAAAGACTATATTCTACATTACGGTTTACACCCCAACATAAAGAAAACGAAAATCCTCACAACTGGACCAGTCAGCAGCATCACGATAAGTGGAGAAAACAGTGAAGTTGTCAAAGATTTCATATTACTTGGTTCCACAATCAACACCGAGGGAGGCAGCAGTCAAGAAATCAGATGACATATTGCACTGGGCACATCTGCTTCTCTGCCAGAGACTTCTCTGAAGAGCTGAAGAGCAAAGATATCTCTTTGAAGACTAAGGTGCACCTAACCCAGCCTTGGTATTTCCAGTCCCCTCCGATGCATGTGAAAACTGGACAGTGAATAAGGAAGACCTAAGAAGGGTGGATGCCTTTGAGTTGTGGTATTAGCGAAGAATACTGAAAGTACCATGGAGCGCCAGAATGAACAGATCCGTCCTGGAGGAAGTGCAGCCGGAATGCTCCTTGGAAGCGAGAATGGCCAGACTTCATCTCACCTACTTTGGTCATGTTGTCAGAAGGGACCATTCCCTGGAGAAGGATTTCACACCTGGTAAAGGGGAGGGTAACGAAGAAGGGGAAGGCCCTCAACGAGATGAATGACACAGTGGCCGCAACGATGGGCTCAGGTGTAGCAAGGATCGGGAGGCTGGCACAGGACCGGGCAGGGTTTCATTCTGTTGTACATGGGCTTGCTGTGAGGCAGAGCTGGCTTGATGGCACCCAACAACAACAATGCTGTGTACTGTGGTAGTGCCAGGCCCTGCCCCACTCTCCCCACTGCCCTTACCTTTCAGAGTACTCCTGGCTGTTACCTCCTATGAATATGCTTTCTTCAGATAACATCGTCATTGACATGTAACTCACTCACTGTACCATTCGCCCATTCAAAGTGGACAGTTCAGTCTTTTAATATATTGACAGCGTTGTGCAGTGCAGTGATCGCCACAATCAGTTTTAGAACATTTTCATCCCCCAAAACAGAAACGTGTGCCCGTTAGTGGTTAACTCACAGCCCCACACTCCCCAGTCCTAGGCAGCCATTAATCTACTTTCTGTCTCTATTGAGTTGTTTATTCTTGGTATTCCAGTAACTGGAGTCAAACAGTATGTGATCCCTTCAAACTGGCCTCTTTCATTCCACATACTGTTTTCAAGGGTCATCCATGTTGTGGCATGAATCAGTACTTCATTCCTTTTCATGGCCAAGCAATATTCCATTGTATAGATTCAGATTTATTTTTCTGTAGACTTTTAGGATCGATTTGTAGGGGGAAAAAAGGCCTGAAATGTTATTGGGATCACAGGGAGAACTCACATCATCGTGCATTGTCTTCCTTTCCAAAATCAGAATAGCTTTCCATTGGCTGGAACCTGGTTTTGTACCAGCCAGTAATTTCCTGCATATTTGTTGTTGTTGTTGTTGTTGTTGTTGTTATTTGCCATCAAGTCAGACCCGACTCATAGCGACCCCTCCTTGGGTCTCCGAGGCAGTATCACTACAGAAGTAGATTGCCCAACCTTCCTTCCAAGGAGTGGGTGGTGGGTTTGAACCTCCAGCCTTTTGGTTAGCAGTCAAGTGCCTTAGGCACTACGCTACCAGAGCTCCTACATATTTCTTATAAAGTTTATTTCTATGCACTTTATATATTTTGATGCTACTGTAATTATTTAAGCTACTATTTTATCCTGTTTTGTTCCCTTAATCTGATATCATAACCATTCTCTGCTCTATTCATTAGTTTTTCTAGCAGTATCTTTTTTAATGATTTGTAGAAAATTTCAATAAGAACACTTTTAATCAATTGTAATCTATAAGTTTTATCTTATTCTTTATACCTGTATCAGTTAACCAAAACCAAAACCAAACCTACTGCCATCGAGGCAACTCCAACTCATAGTAACCCTATGGGACAGAGTAGTACTGCCCTATGGGGCTTTCAAGGTTGTCAGTCTTTATGGAAGCAGACTACCTCATCTTTCTCCCGAGGAGCAGCTGGTGGGTTTGAACCACCAGCCTTCTGGTTAGCAGTCAAGTGCCTTAGGTCCTGCGCTACCAGAGCTCCCCTGTATTGGTCAGAGTTCAGTAAAAAATAACAGAAGCGACTTTAGGCATTTTAAACTGGAAAGGATTTAAATTAAAGGCTTATAAGATTGCTGGGCAGACTAAAAGGAACTGGTTCCAGGCTGTCTCCAGGATACAACTGAGCTGCCACAGGGAACCTGCTACCTCTGAATCCAGCTGTTGAATTCAGGACATACCGTGTGTAGCGGCAGTCCAGAGATCAGAAGCTACTTCTGCAGTCACCTCTTAACATCCTATAAGCTGGAAACTGGCCGTGAGAACTCGGTCTGGCTGCCACCACCACCAGAAATGCCCAGGAAGCTCAACAACAGGCACCAGAACACTGCTGCACAGAAGTCTCGTGTCAACAGAAAGGGACAGAAGGATGGCCTTTGCCTCCCTCCTGCCTTCCAAGTCCCACGTCCAGTCGGCTAGACCACATTTGTGTTCAGAACCCAGCTGCAAGGGTGTCTGCGAAATGGAGTTTGAGGCTTTTTTAAGTAGCTGCTGTAGGAGGCACAAGGAGCTGTGGTGGTGCTGTGGTTAAAGCACTGGGCTGCTAACCAAAAGGTCGTGGGTTTGAGCCCACCAGCAGCTCTGTGGGAGAAAGATGAGGCGGTCTGCTCCCGTAAATATTTACAGCCTTGACGGTTTGACCCAGCAATCCCATTACGAGGTATATATGCCTAAGGCATCTGACTGCCAACCAGAAAGCTGGCGGTTCAAACCCACCAGCCACTCCTCGGAAGGAAAATTGGGCAATCTACTTCCGTAGTGATACTGCCTTGGAAACCCAAGGAAGGGTCGCTATGAGTCGGGTCCAACTCGATGGCAAATAACAGCAACAACAACAAATCCTAAAGAAGTGAGAGTCAGGACAAGAACAGATATATGCACACCCATGTTCATCGCAGCACTGTTCATAATAGCAAAAAGATGGGAACGACCTAGGTACCCATCAACAGAATGGATAACCAAACTATGGTACATACACACAATGGAATATTATGCAACCCTAAAGAATTATGTAGAATCTACAAAACACTGTAGAACACGCATGAACTTGGAGGACATTATGCTGAGTGAAAAAATCTATCACAGAGGGACAGATACAGTTCCTTATTGTAAAAATTCAAGGAAAAGTTTATATAGGGAAGGAAACTTTCTTGGTTGTTTACCAGGGATGGGAGGAGAGGGGAGGGAATGCTGCAAAAAATAATAATAATGCATTGACCATGTCACTTTAGTTTTGTGTATTTCACTGTACATAGATTATATTTCAATACAATGTGAGGGGGGGTGGGGGGAAAAAGACTTGTAGCTTTGGAAACCCTGTGAGGCAGTGTCTTCCCTCTAGGGGTGCTGTGAGTCAGAATCAACCCCATGGCAGTGGGCTTGGTTTTGGTTCCTGGTCGAAGGCAGGGCAGAAGCAGGGCAGAGTGCAGATCCTGTGAGCTGGTCCCTAACACCTTTCCCTCTTGTCCACACCCTTGATAAAGAACATGCATTACTTTTATAATCAACCAAAAGCTGATTTTGAAAAACCTCACTCATAACTCCCCATTTAGAGACACTTGGCATATTTCTTGCCATTTTCTTCTTTGAGTATTTGTAAACAAAATAGATATGTGAGTGTGTGTGAGTGATACATGCAGGCACACCTCGTCTGAATGTGCTTGGCGGACGTTGCTTTGTTATTGTTTTTTTTTTTTTTACTAATTGAAGGTCTGTGACTGCTGTGTTGAGAACCAACAGCGTCTGCTCACCTTGTGTCCCTGTGTTCCGTGTTGGTCATTCTCACAATACTTCAGACCTTTTCAGCCCGCTGTCACACACCTCATAGACTACACTAGAGTGTGACCATGACTTACACCCTGGGAAAGCAAACGGGTCATGTGACTCCCCTTATTGCAACATTCTCTTTACTGCGGTGGTCTGCAGCCAAACCTGCGGTGTCTCCGAGGTCTGCCTGTGTAGAAACAAAACTGGGTTATACTATACAGTCTGCATACTATTTGGTCACTTTCTCTTTACTAAACATTATGTTGTATTTTTTCCCGTTATCAAAAAAGTGTGATCTTGGCCCGCGGCATGAGTAAGGTTTCCCTGAGGACTCCGGCCGGCTGTGCAGTGAGACACTAGTCCCTGCAGTGCTTTAGAACTTGAAGCCAGGAACCAAAGCGGTTGCCCTTGAGGGCCCCTGCCCGCCTGGCCAGTGGTGTCCCTGGAGCCTCTGGGGCACCTCCTTGGGCTCCTTGCTGAGTGTCTGGCTTCCTTGTGTCTGGCCTTCCATAGGGGAGGAACATCGTCGTGTTCTACGGATCCCAGACGGGGACCGCCGAGGAATTTGCCAACCGCTTGTCCAAGGACGCCCACCGCTACGGGATGCGGGGCATGGCAGCAGACCCCGAGGAGTACGACCTGGTGAGCTCCCCGAGCACTCTGGCCCCCTCCTCATATCTCCGCCAGTCAGCATTAAAGCATTAAGATCTTCTTCTCTCGATAGAGGAGAGGCTGAAATTTAGCCAGAAGGCATGGGTCTCTTCATCTGTTCTAGCAGATAGGTGGCACCAAGTGAAAGGGCCTTAAGAACCCCTGGCCCAGGTCCAGCAAGCCTAGAGATGTGCCCATGCCCAGCCTGGGTGTTCTCCCTGCTGTTGGCTTTGGGTTCTGGGTACTCTCTGTGCTGTGGTCTTCACTGGTTCTGAGCAATTGGAGGTTTGGGTGAGGCTTGAAAAAGTAGAGTCTCAGGAACTTCGTCCCCCACTCCACCCCAAAAATACAATAGCAACAAACAAGATTGGGAGTCAGGGGACCTGGGGCCTAAGCCCCCTGTGCCCCGACTGCCTACATGACCCTGGGTGAATCTCCGCCCCATGCACACCTTCCTCGTGCATAAATGAGGCTGTTGGGCTTCATGGTCTTGGAGAAGCACTGGATGGTCTCGCAGAACCTTCAGCTTGAAGTGAAGCAGTCATCCTCCCCACCGGGCCACTTCAGGACTGTCCACAGAACTGAGCCCCGATGCCCCAGTCCCTGCTTCAGCTGGCCTGTATCACCCCTCAGCCATCATCTGAGGGCTCTGGAGGCCAGCTCACGCACCCGCCTGTCACTGGTGCCCTTGCCCTTTCTCTCCTGGGGTTGTGACTGTCCCAAGTGTGGGCACTTATGGCAGGCCACCTGCCTGCTTCTGGTGCAGGAGGACAAAAGGAGTGACAGCCAGGCTACTGGCTGCAGATGGCAGCAGTGGACAGGAAAGGGAGACTTGACCCTTAGCATCCAGGGGGCAGCAGGGAGCAGGTGGTCCTGGGACGAGTCCCCAGGGTTTGCCTTCCCACTCTGCCCTGATGGAAGTCATTGCCAGTCATCACTGGGGCAGCTGAAGGACACGCCAGACATCCTGTCCTCAGAACCAGCTCTCTCCTGAGCCAGCTGCCACCTACATATGCCACTTGTCCCCCACACCAAGTCCATCATGCCCTTCTGCCCTGGAGGTCTCGGTGGCACTACCACCTGCCCAACTCTGGACATGGGTTTTCAAGTTGGATGAGCAACTTGTTAGACTTTAGTGAGATCCATGGCCGTGCCAGGCCATGCCTCAGGAACTTGGTGGAATGAAGGTTCTCCTGGGGCCTGAGTGCCAGCAAGAGGTGGCACCCAGCCTGTTCTCTGCATCTGCCCTGCCCTCACTGCAGGCTCTCACAGCTGTCCTTCCATTTCGGCTTCTCCCATTCCTCCAGAACACACCCTGTCCCCCAGCCCTTGACCTTCACAAACTTCTAGTTGTCCATCTAACCTGGCTCAAATGTCAGCTTCCTCTCTGAAGACCTCCCGACTCCTCCTTGTACCTTCCTGGCAGATGGATGGGTTCCCTCACCCTGAAGCCCCCATGCCCGGAGCATCGCTGGTCATGAGCTGCCAGAGGGCAGGCCTGGGCTCACCCATCTGCAGCCCCTGGCTGGGGCCAACCTGAGCAGGGCAGGCTCCGTCGTGGTCAGTGGTCGGTCCCTGTCCTTGTCCCTCTAGGGTGACCTCAGCAGCCTGACCGAGATCGAGAACTCCCTGGTAGTTTTCTGCATGGCAACCTACGGGGAGGGGGACCCCACCGACAACGCCCAGGACTTCTATGACTGGCTGCAGGAGACCGATGTGGACCTCTCTGGGGTCAAGTATGCGGTGAGTCACCCTGTCCTTCCTCTAGTGGCTTCCTGTAGGCGCATGGCGGGCACTGCACCTCCCCTGGGAGCGCTCCAGCTCTTTGTGTATCGTGATCGAGCAGGGCAGGCAGAGATGTCAGAACAGGAGACTGATGGGGAGCTCGTGAGTGGGAGCCCCAGCCACACCACTGCACTTGGGGGTCCTCTTCTGCCCTGGGACCCCAGTGAATAAGAAAGCTTTTCCTCTGGTGTCCCCAGGCTAAGTTTTTTCCAGGGTTATTGTGGCTGGAGACTAAAGGCAGGAAGGGTGTGGCCGGGTGACCAGATTTGTCTGGGCAAGGAAAGCCAGGGTGACCAGCTCTCCTGCTGGCTACACACAGCCCAGGACTAGCAGGGACCCTGAACACTAGGTGGGCTGCAGGTCCCCTAACAAAGCTGCTTCCAGGGTCAAAGATGGCCCAGCTGCAGTGACAGGGCAGGTGTCTGGCAGAGGCCTGTGGGTGCTGCCTGGCACCTTGCCTAGTGCTCTGGGGAAGTGATCTCCTCCCCAAGGACTGCAGGGCAGACTGGAGACCTGGCCTCAGCCGACCCCTCCACCCTGTCCCTGCAGGTGTTTGGCCTCGGGAACAAGACCTACGAGCACTTCAATGCAATGGGCAAGTACGTGGACAAGCGGCTGGAGCAGCTGGGAGCTCAGCGCATCTTTGACCTCGGGATGGGAGACGATGATGGGAAGTGAGTGGCCCACCCTGCCCCGCACACTGCGCCCCTTCACCTTGCTCATCCCCCCAGCCTCTCTGGGCCTAGGAGCCGTGCGTTTAGGGAGTTGGCCCTAGGACATAAGAGGAGAGCCAAGCCATGGCTGTCAGCTTGCTGCAACCCAGTGACACATTCAAACTCTCAAAAACCAAACTCTCTGCCATCGAGTCAATTCCGACTCATAACGACTCCCATTGGGTTTCCAAGGTGATAAATTTTTATGGAAGGAGATTGCCCAGTCTTCCTTCCACGGAGTGGCTGGCGGGTTTGAACTGCCAACCTTCTGGCTAGCAGTCAAATGCCTTAGGCACTACACCACCAGAGCTCCTTAGTGTGACAGTCAACAGCAAGGAATGGAGAACCTCCCTCCCTCCCCACAGCCCTACTGCTGAGGCCATCTTGCTCTGTTCCAGCCTGCCCAGCTCAGATGGGAATCTTCTAGATTCCTCCTGATGCCTTGGTTTTACCTCACTGGGTGGCCCAGAGTGCAGCGGACCCTGGGCTCTGGTAGAGGGTGAAGGAGAGGGGTCAAGCAGGCCTGGCAGCCCACCCCGGTGCCCCGACTGCGTGTACGAAGCCAGCCTTCCCCAGCCCGGCTGCTGCAGCCCGCTCACCTGGGCTGGTTCTTTCTCTCCTCCCCTCAGCTTGGAGGAGGATTTCATCACGTGGCGAGAGCAGTTCTGGCCGGCTGTGTGTGAGCACTTCGGTGTTGAAGCCACCGGAGAGGAGTCCAGGTGAGTGAGTATGTGCCCTGCAGCTCAGTGGGAGGCCTGTGGGTGAGTGGGTGCCCAAGGGAAGCCCGCCTGGTGGGGAGGCCTGGCAGGTGGGGTGCAGAGAGGATACAGTGAGGAGATAGGTTTGCAGGAATCTGAGGGGGGCTCAGGTCCCCGGCTAAGCAGCTCAAGCTTTGTGTGAAGAGATGCAGAGTGCGGGAAGGGCCTTCTCGACCTCCTCACAGAACCCCCCGAAACTTCCAAACCTGAACCCCCAGGCCCGCCTGGCTTCCTGCTGGGCTCTGACTTCATATTGCCCTGAACCCAGCCCCTTTCCTGCTCTGTCCTGCCTCCTCATGGCTGGCTCCTCCTTTCACAGTTGTCATGGCTGTATTCTGGGGGCTCACACCCCTGCATTGTCTCCTCCACACTCTAAGTCCCTAAGGGCAGCCTTCCTCCTCTCGGCACCGAGCCCTACCCAGCACCCAGCCTCACCCTCAGTCCCCCTTTCCAGCATCCGCCAGTATGAGCTCGTGGTCCACACAGACATAGACACAGCCAAAGTGTACTCTGGCGAGATGGGCCGCCTGAAGAGCTATGAAAACCAGAAACCGTGAGTAGAGCGCCTGCTGGGCGCCCCTGTGTACCCCCAAGGACCTTTCCTCCCACATCCCACCCCTTGAAGCCTCCTTGTCACCACGCTTGTCCAGGAACGGGTGGGCAGGGGCCCCCACATTGTCATCTCCACTGTCCAGGAGGACACGGGCCCAGAGCCGAGGGGTATTCTGGGAGAGTAGGGCCCTGGGGACCCACCCTCTGCCCAGGTGATTCTCTGCAGTCAAGGGCATGGCCTTTGGGACCCTGGCATCTGCTGTTTGTTCATTTGCTTTGATAGTTTGTTTTGTGCACAGCCTGGCAGGGTCCTTGTGTTTGTTCCTGCGCAGTGACATAGCGAAGTCAGGCTCTGTCCAGGCCGATCTGTGGCAAAAGGTTCCCTGAGCATGTACCGCGTGTTTGGGAGTTTTTATACCAAAACGCGTTTTCCTGTCTGGGGCCCCTATCTTGTCTCCCACCGAGTCTTGCCCAGACTGGCCTGTGGGAGCCAAGCCCAGAAGGAAGTTCCTTATACCACAGACTCGGGACCAGCAGCCCGGCCCCATCCATCCCCTGTTGCCCTCCTGGGACAGGAAGGCCCAGCATTTCAGACTTTATGGCGTAGAGGCTCCCCCTTGTTCATGTTACAGCCTAAGGCAAGGGGGGCAGCCGTGGGGCGCTGTGCTCCACACAGCATGTCAGGGACTCGGGCACCTGCCATCATGTGGCTCCATCCTCTGGGCCCGAGTCCTTTGTACTCAGCCCCACACTGGGCAGAGAGCGTGAGGGACCTCATGGATATTTTAGGGGCCAGCCGCTAGCTTCATATCTGGAAATGGGGACCCTGATAACCTCATTCTGCCTGCTTTGTAGGGTTGAGAGTGCTGTATTGGGTTGGGCTGGGAAAGCCCTTGACAGTCCTGTAAGGTGTCTGGGTGGCCCTGGGAGGCCCACAGGCCCCAGGCCAGCTCTGAGGCATCCTGTGTTTTGTGGGGCCAGAAGCGTTCCATGAGGATGGGGAGCTTCAGATCAGAGGCCCAGCCAATCAGCAAGCTTCTCTCCTCCCCACCCAGGCCCTTCGATGCCAAGAATCCGTTCTTGGCCGGAGTTACCACCAACCGGAAACTGAACCAGGGGACTGAGCGCCACCTCATGCACCTGGAATTAGACATCTCAGATTCCAAAATCAGGTGCCGGCTCCCACCACCCGCTCCCCCAGCCTCCGCCTGGGCCTCCTGACCCGGTCAGGGCGGCCGGCGCCCCCGTGCTAAGCCTCACTCCCCCTCCTAGGTATGAGTCTGGGGACCACGTTGCTGTGTACCCCGCCAACGACCCCACCCTCGTTAACCAGCTGGGTGAGATCCTGGGTGCCGACCTGAATGTCATCATGTCCCTGAACAACCTTGATGGTGAGTCCAGGAATCAAGGGCACCCTCCCCTCCCCCCACTGGAGGAGCAAGCTGCCTCTTGCTGTGAACCCTCCTGCACCCCCACTGGCCATTGCCTGGGGCCCAGCTCCTGTCCTGCTCGCTCCTATCCCCAGTGACCTTGGCTGCCTGCTCCACCCCAGAAGTTCTAGAACCAGCCCTGAGAGACGTAGCACAGAAGGGGGCTGGTTTATCTCAGAGCCTGTCATGCCAGGAGTGGGCACCCCCTGGGCGTGGATGGGAGTGTGTACATGTGTGCGTGTGTGTATGCATGTGTGTGTGCATGTGCGCATGTGTGTGCATGTGCGTGTGTGCATGTATGCGTACTTGCATGCATGCATGCGCACACCCACGTGGGTCTCGCTCTGTAAGGGGCACGGCCTCTGTGCCAGCAGAGGTGGGATCTTGCTGGGGGCGGCCCCGGCACTTACCCTCCCAGAAAAGTCGGAGCTCCTCTGCCCCTCCCTGCCCCCCACCCCCCCCAGTGCCTGTCTGCGACCCCCAGGCAGAGAGACGTGTAGCTTCAGCACCTGGAGGGGTGAGGCCAGAGCCCGGTTTCTGTGCTGGCTCGGGAGGGCCCCAGGGGGTAGGGACACTGCGCTTGTTGGTCTGGGTGCTGTCTGTGTCTGCGTGGCCATCGTCTGCCGCCCACACGTGACTGTGTCCTTGACTTAGGTATGTGACTCTTCAACACAGACAACAGACCACCCATAGACCCAACCCCGCAGCCCCGAGCCCTGCCCTGGGCCCTCCTGGGTCCTCAGCAGCCCTCGCAGCCCTCGCAGCAGGTCATTTGTCATCACAGCAAGCAGGCCCTGGGGAGTGACTGGTCAGAGTGTGACGCCCGTTCTCAGCCTGCACCCCCGTGCTCCCTACGCTAGTCTGACTGGGGTGGTGGAGGGTCATCAGTAAAGCCCTCTGGTCGCCTGGTTGGAGCAGAAGCACCAGCCAGGGCCACCGAGCACTTATGTGGCTGAACCAGGTGAAGAGGCTGACAGCAGGGCTGGACCGGCAGGGGGCACCCACCTCAACAGGCCCAGCCCACAGGCAGGCAGGACACAGACTAGGCGCAGCCTGAAGCGTAAGGTCTGGCCGAAGCCTGAGGCTTGACCCCAGGGCCAAGAAAGTGCCGGGGCAAGCCAGCCCTACTCCCAGGGCCCACCAGGCCCGCCATCCGTAGAGCACCCCAGCCCTGGTGGTCACCACATAGCTCAGGTCCTACCTTCCCCCTGCAGAGGAGTCCAACAAGAAGCACCCGTTCCCCTGCCCCACCTCCTACCGCACGGCCCTCACCTACTACCTGGACATCACCAACCCGCCCCGCACCAACGTGCTTTACGAGCTGGCCCAGTACGCCTCGGACCCCAGCGAGCAGGAGCACCTGCGCAAGATGGCCTCCTCCTCGGGCGAGGGCAAAGTACGCCTGCCCCCACCCCACCCCAGAGCGGGGCAGCCCCAGCCCCACTGTCCCAGGCCAGGGAGGGGCTTTCTGGCGCACGGCCCGCGGGGTGGTAAAGAAACCCCCAGGAGGAGGAGGAAGGGGAAACCCCACAGGCATACCTGGGGTGGGGGATTACAGGTAAGGCCCGGGGCCTGGCTGGCCTCCCTGCTTGCTTTCCCAGAAGCCCCTGCTCCCCAGCCACCTGGCCGTTCTCCGAGCTCCTGGGCCCCCCCCCATCCTGGCCCTGTTACTGCCCCTGCTTCTCACCTGTGCCTCTTCCAGGAGCTGTACCTGAGCTGGGTGGTGGAGGCCCGGAGGAACATTCTGGCCATCCTCCAGGACTACCCGTCCCTGAGGCCGCCCATCGACCACCTGTGCGAGCTGCTGCCCCGGCTGCAGGCCCGCTACTACTCCATTGCCTCCTCCTCCAAGGTGGGCCCGGTTGCTTGCTCTGCTCTGTTCTGCTCTGTCAGCTCTAGGCTGGTCTGCTTGCCGGCCGACTGTCCCCCGGGCCTGGGGCTGAGAGCGGGCCATGGAAGCTACTTGGGAAGGGCCATGTGAAGGTTAGGCACCGAGGGAGCTATGGAGGAGGGACCAGCACTGTGACTAGGCTTGGGGTGACAGATCGGACTTGCCCAGGAGCAGGAGAGACCCGGGAACGCTGAGGAAGGGGCTGGCTGCTCACTCACCCGTCCCCACCAGGTCCACCCCAACTCCGTGCACATCTGCGCCGTGGTCGTGGAGTACGAGACCAAGTCTGGCCGAATCAACAAGGGTGTGGCCACCAGCTGGCTGCGAGCCAAGGAGCCTGCTGGGGAGAACGGCCACCGGGCCCTGGTGCCCATGTTCGTGCGCAAGTCCCAGTTCCGCCTGCCCTTCAAGTCCACCACGCCTGTCATCATGGTGGGCCCCGGCACCGGGGTGGCCCCTTTCATAGGCTTCATCCAGGAGCGCGCCTGGCTGCAGCAGCAGGGTGAGTGCCAGACCTGGCAGGAGGGGCGCGGGGTCCTGGGGTCCCATACTCACCTGGGGCCCACTGCTGCCCAGGTAAGGATGTCGGGGAGACACTGCTGTACTACGGCTGCCGCCGATCGAACGAAGACTACCTGTACCGCGAGGAGCTGGCCCAGTTCCACAAGGATGGCACCCTCACCCAGCTCAACGTGGCCTTCTCCCGGGAGCAGCCCCACAAGGTGAGGCGCCCGCAGGCAGGCTGGCTGGGGCGGGAGGGCGGGGCCGGGACCCCCCTCACCAGCCTGCCTCCCCCACCAGGTCTACGTGCAGCATCTACTGAGAAGGGACAAGGAACATCTGTGGAAGCTGATCCACGAGGGCGGGGCCCACATCTACGTCTGTGGGTGAGTGAGGGGGATGAAGCAAGGCCCTGCCTCCTTCCGGGGCGGCCCCTTCCCCAGCCCTGCGTCATCACCTTCCTGCCCCCAGGGATGCTCGGAACATGGCGAGGGACGTGCAGAACACCTTCTACGACATCGTGGCCGAGTTCGGGGCCATGGAGCACACGCAGGCTGTGGACTATGTCAAGAAGCTGATGACCAAGGGCCGCTACTCCCTGGACGTGTGGAGCTAGGGGCCATGCAGCCCCTGCCAGGCCCTGCCCTTCACACCCCACCAGACCTGCTCCCATGTAATCACTCTCCTCATTCCCGTCTACCAGGCTCCTGGGTGGGCTCTGCTTGGCCCTGGAGGCAGGCCCGGTGACAGACTCCTTCCTGGCTGAGATGGGTCCCCTCAGCTCCCAGGCTGGCCAGTCCACCTTCACCAGGCAGCCCCACCTCTTGTGAACACCTCAGGCCCTCGATGGCTATGGCAGAAGAGGCCTTCCTCTCAGCTGAGCTGGGGCCTAGCCCCTCACGTGATTTTCGATGACTGTAAATAATTTTAAATAACCTCTGACCCTTGAAATAAAGTCCTGTTTTCTGTATTATTTGCCTGAGAGTGTTTGAGCAGATGGGAGGCCCCCACCCAGATGGACTCACACGAGAGAGACCAGCATCTTCACCTGTGCCGAGGTGGCACAGAGAGCTGGCTGAGCCCTGCCCGGCCCCAGAAGAAGACACGCCTCCAGCCACCTCCGTGCCACCTTCCTTTATTGAGGACTTGGGGCCCCCAGCCCCCCAGCCCAGGTCTTCGTCTCTAGCACAGCCTTCAGGGCCCACAGAGCCCACAAAACCCGGGGAGAGTGGATGAGACCCTCCGACCCGAGGGGCATCTCCCACCCCTCAGACAACAGGCAATGAAGCAGCCCCTTCAGCCGGGACGTGCCGGCAGCAGGGGCGGCGCCGGGGCCTCACTCCTTCTTGCTCCCGTGCCACTGACTGTGGAACTTCTGGTGCACGACCCGCAGGGTGGTGAAGAAGTTGCCCAGGAAGAGGAGAAGGAACGGGAAGCCACACATGAGCACCTGGGTCCGGGAGAAATGGGTCAGGACCGGCCCGCCGGCTCGGACTCCCTTCCCCAGAAGCCCCGCTCACCTGCCACTCCTTGCACTCAGGGTCCCGGGCCAGGTTAAACAGGGTCAGCGCGTTAAAAAGCTGCCAGAACTGGGGGTGGGGGGGCAGTGTTACTGCGTAGAATCCAGTCCCTGCTCCTAGTCCAACACCAGATCGGGGGACGGACAGACGTGACGGCGGGGACACAGATGCCACTTACGTGTCCAAAGAACAGAAAGGGCAGCAGGAAGGTGAGGCCCCGCCACATCCAGGACTGGAAGCCCTCTGGGGGAAGAAGGGGTCGGGGCCCACGGCCACCGGAGAGAGGTGAGGACACTTAGAGCCAGGGTGGGAGCAGAAGAAAGTTCCCACACCCCAGCTCCCTGTTAGGGTTCCAGGCCCAACTTGCCCAAGTGAGGTCCACAGGGTGCTCTCCCTCAGGGCCTGCAGGTGCAGGTAGTCACCCACCCCCAGTGAGGTCTATGGGTGCCCTCCCCCAGGACCCACAGGTACAGACAGCCACCCACCCACAGTGAGGTCCATGGTGTGCCTCTCTCCCAGGGCCCGCAGACGGTACAGACAGCCACTCTGGTAGTAATACTGTAGGAACTGCACGAAACCTGGGGGTAGAGGGGTGAGAAGCCACCTGGAGCCGGAAGTTCCTCCCTTGACCGCCTGCCCGAGGGCAAGTCCAAGGCTGAGAGGGGCCTCTCAGACACTCACTCTGGTACATGGAGAAGGACAGGAACTGGTTCCTGAACCTCTGGTACATGAGGCCGTCGGGCCTAATGCAGAAAGCAGAGATGTGTTCACAGAGCCCGGAAGCCCTCCTCCCCCTGCTCCGGCTCCCACCTGCTGCGGTCCGGGCGGCCACTCACCACGTCAGCATGACTCCCGATAGGAACGTGGACACGTAGTGATGGAAAACCCACCAGCCTTTGATCCTGGATCAGGAAGCTGTTGTCACTCCTGTCCCCTCAGCCCCCAGGGTCCATGCTCAGGGGGTGGGGCTGAAGGAGGAGGAAACCACTGGCCCAGCCTAGTTCCTGCTTCCGAGAGAGCCACTGCCACCCCTCACCTGCATTTTCTACCTTGGTGGTCCCAGCCCCGCCCTCTGGGAGGAGCTAGTGAGCCTGGCCCCGCCCTCACTCACCGGGAGCCATTGTTAATAAGGATGCTCTCTCTGATGGTCAGGGTACAGTAATACCAGACCAGCAAGAAATTGAAGGCAGCATCTGTCACCCTGGGGACAGGAACACAGGGTTGGTGCCAGAGCACCTAGAGAGGGCCCAGGGTAGCCCCAAGCGGGGACACCCACCTGGAGTTGAGGAGGAAGCGGCAGGTGAAGGAGATGAGGATGAGGATGATGGTGAGGTAGAGCTTGAACTTCTCGTACTCGTCCTTGTAGGCAAACCTGAGGGTGTGCACAGCCTTGCGGGGCAGGCCGGATGCCGAGGCCCACCCTCCCCTCCACTGGAGGAGGAATGCCCCTGCCCCAGGCCCACTTTGGCCGTTGCCATGGAGCCAGCATGGGGAGGAGCCCCTGAAGGCCAGGACTCAGCCCCCAGGGAGGCCAGGGCAGATTGTAAAGGACTCAGGCAGGGTGGGGGGTGGAACGGAGACCCAGCCCATGACAACCAATTACTTAGCCTGCTTGCTAAGGAGTGTCACATTGACGTTACCCAGGACCAGACTCAGGTACAACCTACGGGAGAAAGGGACTGGGTGAGGAGAAGCCTAGATTGGCAGAGAAGTCCAAAGGGCAGCCCCATCATGGGGCTGGTGGGAGCTGAAGACCAACTTCTTGGGGAAAAACGAATGGCCAGCCTTTCTCCCTGCCTGCTCCAAGTCCTGATCCAGGATAAACCAAGCTCCCTCCCCCATCGCATCTTCCCTGCAGCTCCCCGAACTCAGGGCCTGGTTCTCCCATCCCCGGGAAGCTGTTCCATACCCCAGATGACCCCTATGGGCTCAACCACCATCTGTCAACTGCCCCACATTTCTCTGCCACCTCAACTCCAGGAACCTTCAGGTTCAAGCCCACTTCAAGACACACCCATGGTCATGCCCTGGGCTTTGTCCCTACCCAGAGCATGGCCCCTCAGAACCTAGGAGCTCTGCTGGCATTCTGACCCCAAACACTCCACCGCCCAGCCCACTTCCTCCCCGACGTGGACCCTTCCCCTGACTGAGGCATCCTGACCCTGGTCTACTATCCCAAGCCTGCTGAGTCCCCAAAGCCCTCCTCCACTTTAACCACTTTCTCATTTCTGTGGACTCCCAGCTTCCCTGCTGTTCAAAATGCCCTGCCCAGCCAGAGAAACCTCACGGTTAAGAGGAAAGTTGTAATGCTTATGACCCAATACGAGGGCTATTGTTCATTCAAGCCTCACGGAACTCAGGCTCAGAATGGCTTGGGAACTTGCCCAGTGCTGCAGAGTTTATAGGGCAGGGCTGGGACCCAAACCTAGACCAGCGAGGGGCCAAAGCCTCTTCGTCGTCCCAGCACAGTGGCCCCCCCCATCACAAAGACACACACACACACACACACACACACACACACGGTGCCAGCCTCCAGCCTCCACTGCCCACCCACCAAGCCCCCTGGCTCAGTTGCCTCTTCAATTCTCTGCCATCCCCTCTCCCTAACTTTCCATCCTGTGTGCAACCATCAACTTCACACCTGCAATGTCTCAGGCGAAGCAGAGCTGGGGGCCGGCCTCTCCCTCTGCCTGCCACCTCCCGCCTCCGATGTGCCCAGGCCGGCCCGCCCCTCACTCACTTCTCCGTCTTTCCCTTCTGCTGGCCCTTTCTGCTCGGCAGGAAGTAGGCTTAAGTCTTTCCTATCTCAAAACCAAGTAACCTGCACCCCCTCGTGCCCAAGACAGTTGCCTAAACTTGACTGTCTCTACCTCCTTAGCTTCTCAGGCCTCCCCATTATCGACTCCCACCCAAACACCTGGAATGGTTCTCTCCAAGGTCTCCACCGACCTCCAAACACCTCTTTATCAGATTTAACCTCCCGGGCCATCTGAGGGGTGGCTGCTGACCACCCGCCCTTGCTTTCTTGGACACGTTCTCCCCACCTTCTTTCCGGGACATGCTCAGGTCTGCACGGGGCAGCTGTTGGGTCTCCTCAGCTGGACTTTTTTTTTTTTTGCTCAGCCCAGGGCTCTGCTGTCACTCCTTGGTGTCCCTCCTCGGTGACTGCAGCTCATTTGACCTGTCATTCCTTCTTGCCTCCTGGGCAAACACAAGCTCCCCTCTCCCCCTCCTCTACTTCCACCTGAGCTCTGGCCACTGGGAGCCACTTCTGGGTTTGCTCCCTGCAGAGGTTCCCTTCCTTCCCAGGTGTGCCTGGCTAACTCCTCAGGGCTGAGCACAGGCATGAGCCACTCCGGGACGCATTCTCCAGCCTCCCATCACTCCCTACACCTGCCCACAGAGCAGCTATCTCAGTGCACTGCCTCTCTGAGGTCAGGACCGGGCCTGACTGCTCAGCCCACACTGGCCCAGGAAGCCTTCGCTGACTGAATGGCCTAGAGAAGGAAGTGCCCATCATCAGCCCTCTCCCTGTGAGCTGAGCCGGGAGCAGCCTCACCCGTTCTTCTTAGGCAAATAGGCCTCCATGTCGAAGAAGAGGCCTTGGCGCTCTTTGATCTGGTTCTCCAGCTCCTGCACAGCCTCTTCAGTCCCTGACGGGAGGGAGGGTTTGCATCTGCAGGTGGAACCACGGACAGGTGTCACTTCCGGACAGAGCCTGGAGCTCCCAGATATCGTGCCCAATACCTGCCAGTCAAAGGGCAAACGAGGCCCAGAGAGGGAAAGAAGCTTGCCCGGGGAGGGTCTGTGAGTTGGCGCCAACTCTCCAACCTCAGCATGTCAGCCACCCCAGCCCCAGCCCAAGGTGTCGGGGGAGGTCCTAACTTCCTCAGGACGAGGGCCAGCTCCTGGAGGTGCTTCTTCTGCCGGCTGATGGAGCTGGTACAATTGTTCTGCAGCTTGGTCAACTCCTCCAGTTTCAGGCGGTACAGCCGGTGGGCCTCCTGGGGGCCGGAAGGGGAGAAGGCTCAGGCTGGTTGGGGGCCCCTGGGGCCTGAGTCTGCTTGGCAGTGGTGAGGCACTAGCTCTCCCAGGCTCCTTGGGATGGTCTCCGCAGAAAGGAGGCAGGACTTGGCATGCCTGCCCAGGACCACTCCAAGGCAGGCAGGGAGCTGGGGTCTCTTCCCGTAAGCCCAGTGGCTCCGTGGCACCCCTTCCCCAGCAAGAAGCTAGCTCTATGCTCACAGATCCTGAAGCCCTCTGGGCCCTTTCAGACCCTCCCACCTACCCAGCCTGCAAGTACAGGGACAGCTGGGGTTATCCAAGATGCCTTCTGCACTGGCATTTCCAGACACCTTCCACCCAAGTTAAAGGTCATCAGGCTTCAGCCCTTGGACCTCCTGCTAGGCTAGGCCCTCTATCCCTCCCCCAACACCTTTGGCCCAAGGCTTTCCAGAGCACTTTACCCTTGTGGGAGAGTCTTGGAAGGAGCACCTAGAGGTTGGGCAAGGGCAGTGTGAGGAAAGCCACGCAGGCACTGAGGGCCAGGCTGGCTCTGGACTTGGAGAGAAATGCTGTGGCCACAGGCTTGGCTGGCCCGGGGGGCAAAGACATGAAGGGGCTGGAAGCAGTATAGGGGATGCAGTATATAAGCGGGGGACCAAGTCCCCAGCTTGCTCTGGCGCTACCTGCTTGAGGAGCCTTGTTTCCTTTGCTCAGGACGGGGCCACTACCCGCCTCAGGCCTGGAATGTACTACACCCTTTCGTGCCCCAGTACTGTCTACCATCCCCACCTTTGCAACCCTCAGCCACCAGCCTCTCCTGGCAGCCTTGTCCTCGTGGCCTGCTTTAGAACAGCCACCGTGGCACCCAGAGCCAGATCTGCACAAGTCCTCTCCCAAGGCTGCCCACTGGCTTCAGAGGGTATAAAATCCCAGCTGGACACAGATGTCCCTGGGCGGCCTGGCGCGCCCACTTCTCCCTTCTCTCTGCTGCAGCCACGTGGGACCATTTTAAAGGCCTTCGTGGTCGCTGTTCCCTATGCCCAGGGAACTTTCCCATTCAAACCTGGGCCCAGGCCCCTCGCTTCCCAGCTACGCTGGCTGCCCGAGGAAGGGACCGCGCTGCAGCCACCAGCCCGCCCCAGGTGCTCGAGCCACGGCGGCTGAGTGACCGACCCAAGCCTGGGCCAGCTGGCTGTGACTCAGGCGGCGCTCTCCTGGGAGGGGGCCGGTGGCGGTGCGGAGGGCCAGGGCGGCGTGGGGCCCTCGGGCCGGTGGGCCTGGAGCTGCTCGCGGACGGACCTCTGTCCACGGGGCGCAGGGTCCTGCCCCACCCGCCGGTATCGCGAACGGTGCCCCCCTCCGGCACTGATCTGAGGCCGTCAGGAGAGTCTAGCAGGGGACACGGGGACTCGAGGCCTCCCATTCGTGGGGAGCGACGCCGGGGCCCCCGACCTCTGACCCCAAGTTCCCCGACGCCGGACCCCGGTGCCCGACCCTTGACCTCGAGCCGGAGAGACGTGGCTCGGCTCGAGGCCAATGGGCTCCCGCAGCAGCGCCCACCTGGATGCTCTGGAAGTCCTGCTGCAGATTCTCCCAGTCCCGCAGGCAGTTGCCCAGCGGGCCCGGGGGCGGTGGATGCATGGCTGCCGGGCTGCCGGCCACAGGAGCAGAACGCAGAGGACAGCGCCGCAACCCCAGCGGTTCCGAAGCACCTCCGCCAGCTCAGCCACCGCCCCCGTCCGCTTCCGGGCTCGCGCCGCCGCGGCCACCAATGGGAAAGAGGCCTGGGCCGGCCAGGCGCTGGCCCCGCCCCCAGCACGCGCCAATCCAGGCCAGAGGCGGGGCCTGGGCGGGGCCTGGTGCGCGGGGGCCGCTCTGCCCCAGTGGGGGGCTTGGGTCGTGCTTCTTTCTCTTCACCCAGACGCCTCGGCCTGTGCCTGCCGCTTGGGGCAGCGGGCAGGGCGCTGGCTGTCGTGCTGGGGCGTGCGCCAAGTCCAAGGAGATGACACCTGTCTCCCACGCTTCGTCCTTGGGCCGCTTCTCTCAGCGTCAATTTTTATAGCAGCTTCCTTGTGCGGCTCCCTGCTGCAGGCGCACCTCCTGCCCCTTCTCACAGCCACCGGACGCCCTTCTTAAGGCACAAGGCCAATCCCCATCACGTCCAGTGGCTCTCCCTGCCTACAAGCGGTCCCAGACACAGCCTCGCTTTGCAGCCACCCCGCGCTCTTCTCCAGCCCAGCTCCAGAAGAAAGCCCTTGCTGACTGACAAGCCCTTCCTTTTCTGGCAAGACCCAACCCTTCCGCGAGGCTGGGCCCTCCTGCAGACCCTTGTACTCCCGACCTTCCCGCCCTCTGCAGAGAGAGCTTAGGGAGCCCGCGCAGGTGGCAGGGAATGTTGGCTGAATGAACCAGAGGTCGGCCCTTCAGGGATGGATATCCCTAATTCCCCACCGTCTCCGTCCTCCGCCCCTCTCCGGGATTCCCGGGGTGCTGTGGGTGCTGGTAGTGCTGGGAAAATGCTTTCAGAAAACTCCCTGGAGCCCCGAGGAATTTCTAGGAACCTGAGTGTGGGGACAGGACGGGCAGGAATCTCTTCTTGGCAAACAGCCTGGCAGAAATTGAGTCGGGAGCAAGGAAATGAGACCCGCATCAAGGGATCAAGGAACAGGGGGTGGAAGCGCTGGGATGGGGAAGAGGGAAGCTGACTTGTTCTAGTGCCAGAAGCCCCTCAGGGGCCTCGGAGTCTGGGGCCCTGGCCAGCACCCGGCCTGGCATTTCGGCAGCTGGAGAATCTCTGTCCAAGGATGGGCACTGTAACACCTGGTGTGAACCCCCGTGCGCCAACACAAGGAGGGGTGGGGGTGGGAGGACCCTAGAGCTTCCCCGGGGCAGGCAGGCCTGCAGAGGTGAAGTCATGGGGGTGGGGTGAGGCAGCGCTCCAGCAGCGGGCGCTCTTCCTGCCAGCACCGGACAGTGGACCGTGGCCCTGGCTGCCCCAGGGGTGGCGCTCTGGGGGCCTAGCAGAAGCATCTGTGGGGACGGAGCTGGGAAGAACCACTGCAGAAGGCAGACGCAGGCTTGAAGCAGCAAAGGCTTTCTTCCACATCAACCCCTTTACACAGCCAGGCTCACTCCCCACAAGGAGCCCCCAAGTGAAGTCCTCCAGATCCACCCCTGGCCTTGGAGACGGTCAGTAAAGCAGATCCGAGATGTCCGTGATGCTGTCCCCAAGGACGATCTTCTCCCAAAGCAGCAGCTGACTCACCAGGCTCCGATTGGGACTCATGTTGCCTTTGCATTTCTTGACGTAGGCCCAGGACCTCTGTGAGAGTGAGCATCAAGGTGGGCCCTTCCCACCTCGGGCAGGGCCCGTGCAGGGGGGCAGGGGTCAGTGGGCACTTGCCCAGCATCTAGCTTAAGGGCCAGACACAGAAACGGTAGCCTGGGGCTAACTGCTCAGGGGGAGGCATCCTAGCTCTGCACCCCTGCTTCTGAACATGGGGACAGAAATGATTCCTTCCTAAGAGGGCTCCGGGGGAGACTGAGGCAACGTCCGGGAACCCACCCTCAGCAAGGTGTGTGGGGGGGTGATGGATTCATGAAAAGGGAGGAGACTGTGGTCAAATTCTCCGGAGAAGGGAAAACCAAAGATGACTGCTTTTCGGGCACCCATCCAAAATTGCAGGACTATTACATGGAGGTGACCAGCTGGTCTCTATCTGGACCAAGGACGGAGGAAAAGGGAGAGAACAAAAGTGGTGCTGGGGACACAGCTGTGCAGAAGTAAGGTTTACTAAGTCCTTCGAACCCCTCCTTCCAGCCCCACCCCAGCACACACCCCCGACACGCACGCGCACACGCACACACACACGCACACACACATGCACGCGTTCCAGCCCACAGGGTCTGCTGAGGCTTCCACCACACCTCCAGCAGGCAGGAAGAGCAGAGGCTGGGGGCCTCCTGTACGTGCCTGGGAGCCCGCCCCAGTCACACTTGGTAAGGGGTGGCACATCCTTCAGATTGCCAGCCAGGTGCCATCCCTGCCATGTCATTGCCTGGTTCAAAGCCCAGACTCTCGAGAGGTGACACCTGGCTTTGAATCCACCATGTACAGCTGTGGGGCCTCAGTGAGTCCCACGGCCTCTGTGCCTCCCCCAAAATGGGAACAATAATCGTACCTTTTGTGGTAGGCCTATTAGGTATTTTTACACCTAAAGGAGTAGGTGTAAAGGAGCTGGTGGTGTCAGGGTTAAGGCCTTTGGCTGCAAACCAAAAGGTCAGTGGTTCAAACCCACCAGCCACACCACAAAAGAAAGATGAGGCAGGCTGCTTCCATAAAGATTTATAGCCTTAGAGGCGCAATAGGGCTCACTATGGTTTGGAATCAACTCAATGGCAGTGAGTGAACCTAGTAGGTGTAGCATTGCGTCCACTCCAGCTATGACAGTGCCTCAGGAATATGTTTCTCTAAAGGGTCAAAGCTGCTCCAGCCATTTAAACACTAAAATGGGCTGCTTCCAGCCCAAGAGCTCTGAGGTCCCATACTGTCTTGGAAATAAGCTTTTCCACTTGGCACTTTGAAAGCCCAGGTCAGGGGTAATGAGAGGCTCTGGGGACTAGCCAACTCTGGGTTCCAGCTTCTCCCCAGCTCATTCCTTGACCCCCATATCTCCAGGGAGGTGAGGGTGGGGGAGGAGGAGACAACTGCAAGAGCTGGCCTTGTCCCCGAGGAGCGCTGGGGCCACAGCCTCAGGAAGCTGTCTGTTGTGCTGGTGGGTAGCACACGCCCTTCCCTGCCAGGCCCTTGGGCTCTCTGATCACCATAGCTGAGCCAATGACAGGCAGCAGAGCACGGCTGTCCCCAGAACACGGAGGGAGCCAGGAGCAGCTGACAATGGAAGGCGGGGAACCTCCATGTAGGCCCAGGAGCAGCACAGTGAGCCCAGGTTATCTGGGTCCGTGAGCCCAGGTTCCAAGGTGGCTGCTGCAGCACCTGCTCAGCCAGGAAAGGGTCTGGTAGGACCACGGCCCAGCCACCCTGCCCCACAGCTCCATGGGAGACAGCTTTCACGACCTAGAAGGCGCCTCTAGCAGTGCCCAGCAGTGACTTCTTCAGGGAAGGGGAGAGCTCCGCCCTCCCCTGCCCAGGAAGGGAACCAAGGCTGCCCCTGGGAGCAGATGCCTGGGCCTCGGAGACCCGAGGGCCTGGCCAGCCAGCGGAGTGCTATGTCTCCCTGCAGGGTGCCGACGCCGCTCTGTGCCCAGTGCTATGACAGCTGGACCCTGACTGCAGGAGAGGTGGGAGGAGCCTCCCCGCACTTGGCCTCTCCACAGCTGCCTCTGGCAAGTGCACATGACCTCTGCTCTGGATGTGGCAATGTGCTGGGAAGGGTCAGGAAGGTGGCCAGTGCCCACATGTAATGGGTCACCCTCACTGCGTGTCAGAAGAGGGAGAGCCAGGAGAGCCTGGAGGGCCTTGGTGCCCAGCCCTCTCTGTGAGCAATGAGGACCCGAGGACCACAGCAGGACAAACTGCAGGGGGGCTCCAGCTGTGGGGCTCCCCCAGGTCCCTGCCAGCAGATAGCCAAGCCTCTCCTGGGGCAGAGCCGATTCTTGGGGGGCTGGGGAGGCATCCCTGCAGGAACAGCAGCACAGACCTCTCCCAAGATTCATCAGCAACATCTCCCCACACCCACCAGTGCACCCCAGAACAGCTGTCAAGCAGGGAGCGACCCCAGTATGAGGCTCCAGAAAGTTCTCCTTGGAGGGGGGCATGAGGAAAGCAACTTGGCTCACACACCCCCTATTCTGCATCCAAGACTTTCTAGCAACTTCACTGCCGAAACCATGCTGGGTTGACAGGCAAAACCACTGGCTAATGGACTGTGGCCACAGTGACTCTCTGTCCCTCCCACTCACCCAAAACACACCCCTGGGCAAATGTCTGTCTGTCCACCACAAGCCCTCTAAGACTCTGAACAAGGCATAGATGAGCCAAAGCTCCCACCGCCAAGCCCTGGAGTGGGCACCAGGAGCCCAGAGTTCCCACCGAGTTTGCTGTGATGGCTCCCAGCTTCCCTCCCGTTTGGGCCATGCTCTCCTCATGGGTGAGATGATATCGGGAGTGGGTGCCTGCAGAGAGCCCTGCTGTGCTGGAATCCAGGGGCTCCAGCTGCAGCCAGATGCAGCCAGCTGCAGCCAGCTGCAGCCCCTTGCAGAGGGCTGGACAAATGCTGGTAGACACATGGCAGGGGGGACGACAGCCTGAGTGCCTGGGCCTGCCCTCTGTGCCTAGCACCTGGCCAGTGGCGCAGAGTCACAGCCCTGGCCTTGAGCCTTTAGCGGTGTGTGCTGGGCAGAGCCCTAGGCCTGGAGCCGCTCTCCCTGACCCCTGCCCTGCCCACCTACCAACAGGACCCCAAGGTAGTACCTCCACCCTGTTCCTCCCAGGTCCGGCTCTGACCTCACCCCCTGGACTGGGGTATTTGTACCTTCAAGGTCTGCTCCTGCTGGTGCATGAGGTAGGCAATGATGGCTGCACAGCTGCGACTGATGCCCAATTTGGAAAAGACCAGGATGACAGAGCCAAGCTCAAGGTGAATGTCTGCAAAAGGAGGAAGGGTGGGTGGGTTGTGTGCAGCCCCTTCACTCTTCTCCAGGTTTGCTGTGACCGGCCTCAGTGGGCCTGTGGACCAACAGTACATCCAGAACCTGCGCGTGTCCTGGGCAAGTCACAGGCCTCTAGGCCACCGTTTCACCGACCCACAGGCGAGGGGCCTCACAGCTGGCTGGCAGTTCACGGGCACCACAGCTGGGCATTCAGGCCTGTCATGCAAAAGCCTTGTCTTTGGCTCTGAGGCTTCTAGCCCGGGAAGCTCTGCTACCACCTGGCCTCCCAGGTAGGGATGAGCACACTGTCCCCAAGGGCACCTGGACACTTAAGAGACACGTGCTGCTGGGAAAGAGACGCAAGAGACACGCATTGCTGAGTGACACACCGAGGGACACTCACTGTTGGGAGAGAGACTGTGAGAGACTGTTGGCTGAGAGATGGTGGGCTGGGAGAGAGACTGAGCGTTCTTCCTGAACTTGGATTGTAGCCTGGTGTTTCCCTAATAAACTCTGTAATCTGTGAGTTGTGTGTGGCCACTGCAGTGAATTATCGAACCCAGGAGAGAGGTGGTGGGTGCTTTGGGAGGAACGCTTGGTGAAAGGGCTGGAGGGAGGCAGCGTGCCTGGCCTTACAGTAATTGGCCTTGGGTTACTGATAGTGATCCTGTCTTCCTCTTGTGTGGTTAGAGGAGGTCAGGAGATGCGGCCTCCTTGCCTTTTTGCACACAGGTTGTGGGACCTGGGCAAGTTACTCTAAGCCACAGCTTCCTCATATGGAAAACGGGATAACAATCTATGTACCTCATAGGGTTTTTGCTCTGTGGTTGGCATATAATTATCAGCTATAATTACACTTAATGCATGTCCCCAAGACTCTAAGGCTCACCCAGTGAAGTGCAGGAAGGGAATGTAAGCTGGCATCCTCAGGCTGGTCTAGAACCTCCCACAGCAGAAGGTAACATACCAAGCCCAAGTTACAGACTGTCAGGGCTGAAGGAGGTCTCAGATGACTGGGGTCAAACGCCTTATCCTATGAGTAAGGAAACTGAGGCACAGAGCTTCACAGCGACGTGGCACTGGGGGGGGGGGTCCCTCTTGGTGCCATGGGGCTCTGCTGCCCCATAGTGGGGCATGTGGCAAGCCTGTTTCTGGTCCAAGGAAAGGTTCAACCAGTCAAGTGATAGTTGATATCTACTGGGCAAATAAGGCCCAATCAGACACTGGGCATTGGGCCACACCATCCTCCAGGCCTCCTGCAGCAGCTCAGGCTGGGGATGGTGGGCACCAGGCAGACAGTCATGGCCTGAGGCCTCTGACCTGGTTCCCCTTTGCCTTCTCCAGGGATCTTGCTTTCACAGGGCAGACAGGCACCCTGGGAATGACTGAAAACCTCACCCCCAATGAGTTAAGCTACTGGTGGCCAGGACTTGTGCATGGGGACAGGGCAGCAGGGAGCTGGGTGCACACATGTGGGATCCTGAAGTCAGAGCTGGAAGGGGCTTCGGAGTCTTCCCTTCACCCCCACGCCCACCCCCCTGATCAGACATGAAGGCAGGGATGGAGTGATATTCACCTCTGGGTCCCCAGTGCCCATGCAGAGCAGGGCTCCGCGAACATACGTAGCCATCAGGTCTCAAGACCCTCACTTCACATCAGGTAAACAGGCACCATGAGGTTGGGGCTGAGGTGGTCCAGCCAGGGCCAGACCAGGGCTGTGGAGCCACTGCCTGGCGTGCCCTGGAGTCTGCCTTTCTAGTTTGGTCCCATGCCCTGAGGCAAACGCCATGGCTGCCCACATTGCTGAAGGCTCCTGAGAGGTGGGCTTGGCCTGGGGTCCACACTTGCCCAGGTACACCTGAACTCTGGGAGACCAATCAGAAACAGGGGTGCTGCAGCCCCTCCACCCCCAAGACCAGGTCAGTTGCCACCTGGTTAGAGAATGCTCCTTACCAATGAAGTGACAGAGGTGGCGTAGAAAGGGAGAGATGTTGGCTTCCAGTGAATCTTCCACCTGGATGTGAAGAAGCCTGTCAGCGTCACCTACAAAACTACAACGAAGAAAGCACACGTAAGTGGGCAAAATCGCACACAGCCCCATCCTGGTATCTGTCTTAGTTCTCTAGTGCTGCTAAAATGGAAATGCCACAAGCCAATGGCTTTAACAAACAGAAATTTATTCTCTCATAGTTCAGGAGGCCAGATGTCTGAATTCAGGGCGCCAATTTTACAGGAAGGCTTTCTCTTTCTCTCTCGGCTCTGGGGGAAGATGTTTGTGTCCTTTCAACATCTATGGGCCTGGAGTCATTTGGAGATCTCCATGTGTCTTGGCATCAGTATTGCCCTGGGTCTAGGAGGTTCTCAGCACAGGGACCCCAGGCCCCAAAGACATGCTCTGCTCCTGGCTCTGTTTTCTTGGTCTTACTGAGGGCTCTCCTGCTCTGCTTACTTCTCTCTTGTAACGTGAAAGAGGATGCAGGTCACACCCCAGGGAAATTTTCCTTACATCAGATCAGGGCTGTGACCTGAGTAAGAGTGTTGTGTCCCACCCAAATCCCCTTATAACTGATTGGCTGATCACATCAGATCACATCATGGGGGATAATGACATCACCATATCACTGCAAAACCACTGCGAATCATGGCCCACGTAAACTGACATCTATTTCTGGGGGCCACAACCCAACCCATGATATCATCCGTCACCCAGAGCAAGAGGACCAGAGGGGCAGGACGAGGGACTAGCACCAGGAGATGTAGGCAAGTAACTGATCCTCTCTCGGAAAAAAGCCCTGCCTCACAGGGCTGATGTGTGGGTCAAGGGAAGAAATCTGTGTTAATGTGATCTTACTACTGACAAACACGGTACCTTCCTAGAATACGGTGCACATAAGAAAATAAGTATGGAAAAGCATGTTTAACAATGCATGATATTCTTCTCCAGGGAATGGAGAACATTTCTGTTCTCCTTTCTGACATGACCAAAGTTCATGAGACGAAGTCTGTCCATTCTCACTTCTAAGGAGCATTCTGGCTGTACTTCTTCCAGGACAGATTTGTTCATTCTGGCAGTCCTTGGATTTTCAGTATTCTCTGCCAACATCACAATTCAAATGCATCAATTCTTCTTTAGTCTTCCTTAGTCACTGTCCATCTTTCTTTCACATGCATATGAGGCTACTGAAAATACTAAGGCTTGGGTCAGGTGATATCTTTGTTCTTTAACACTTTAAAGAGGTCTTTTGCAGTAGATTGGCCCAGTGCAATATGTCATCTGGTTTCTTGACTGCTGCTTCCATGGATGTTGATTGTGGATCCAAACATTAAATCTCTGACAACTTCAATCTTTTCTCCATTTATCTTGATGTTGCTTATTGGTCCAGTGGTTAGAAATTCTGTTTTCTTCATGTTGAGGTGTAATCCATACAGAAGTCTTTGATCTTCATCAGTAAGTGCTTCAAGTCCTCTTCACTTTCAGGAAGCAAGATTGCATCATCTCACGCATTGTTAATGAGTCTTCCTCCAATCCTGATGCTGGGTTCTCCTTCACACAGTCCAGCTTCTTGGATTATTTGCTCAGCGTACAGATTGAATAAGTATGGTGAAATGATACAACCCTGACGCACTCCCTTCCTGATTTTAAACCATGCAGTATCCCCCTGAGGCCACTTTATTTGTTGTTGTTGTTGTTTTTGTTGTTATGTGCCTTCAAGTCGGACCGACTCATAGCGACCCCTCCTTGGGTTTCCGAGGCAGTATCACTACAGAAGTGGATTGCCCTTTCTTCTTTCCCAGGAGTGGCTGGTGGGTTTGAACCGCCAGCCTTCTGGTTAGCAGTCAAGTGCCTTTAGGCACTAAGTTACCAGAGCTCCTGAGGTCACTTTATTAGCCACACACAAATTTGCTATACTTTATGGTACATTACGAGCTCTGGTGGTGTAGTGGTTAAGGCGTTTGACTGCTAACCAAAAGGTCGGTGGTTTGAACCCACCAGCTGCTCCACAGAAGACAGATGAGACAGTCTGCTTCCATAAAGATTTATAGCCTTGGAAACCCAATGGGGGTCGTTGCTATGAGTCGGAATCAACTTCATGGCAGTGAGCTTGGTTTTTTCGGTTTTATAGTACATTAACGTCATCAATGAATGACATGTCCTTTATTTCTAGTAATGCTTTCTTGCCTCTAAGTCCATTGTGTCAGATATTAAAATAGCCACACCGTCTCTTTTTTAATTAGTGTTTGTGTGTAATTATTTTCCACTATCTTTCTTTCTGTGTCCTTTTGCTATTTTAATGTGTTTCTTCTAAATAGAATATAATTGGTTTGGGAGCTGGATTTATTTATTTATTTATTTATCCAGTGGCGTGACAATCTTTAACTCTTTCTTTTCAGTGTTTTATTCTTTTTGTTGTTGTGGAAAATATACATAGTAGTACATACATCAAGGCAACAATTTCCACATGTACAACTCAGTGATACTGGTGACATTCTTCAAGTTGTACAGCCATTCTCACCCTCTTTTTCAGAATTGTTCCTTCCCCAGCAACATAATCTCAATGCCCCATAAACTTCCTACCTAACCTTTCAAATTGCTGTTGTCAGTTTGATCCCAGATACACAGTTCCTTAGAAGAGCACATTGCTCAAGGCACACATTCTGTACTAACTGAGTTAAACTATTGTTTGGTTTCCAAGAAATGTTAAGGGATATTTTTGGTTTAAGGCTTAAAAGATTATCTCAGGGCAATAGCTTCAGGGGTTTATCCAGCCTCAATGGCTCCAAAAAGTCTGGATTCCATGAGAATCTGAAATTGTTTCACTTCCCCCCTTTTGATCAATTTAACCATTTGGATCTTTGATCACAACATTCCCTCCAGTTCTTCGGGTCTCATGGCAATGGAGGGAGACGTCCCCGGAGGCAATGAGCCAAGCATTCCATTTCCTTCTGCTCTTGATGCTCCTTCCTCTG